ACCTATGCAGAGGAGGAGGGGGATGTAGCTCCTCCCCTGTCTCAGAGATAGGTGCCCATCTCTGCTAGTGATCCACGAACGAGAACCAGCTGCCTGGAATGAGGCAACCTAGGCATCTAAGTTGTTTCTTGGGGGAATGAATTAGGCACCTGGCTTGAGCCATATAAAATGGCTGAAGGAGGTGGTGGTACCCACCCTTTAACCCAGTGGTTAGAGCACTCACCTGGGAGACAGGAGACCCCTGTTCAAATCCTTCCCCACCCCCACAGGCAGAGAGGAAAATTGAATCTGACAGCAGGGAGGGATAGCTCAGTGGTTTGAGCATTAGCCTGCTAAACCCAGGGTTGTGAGTTCAATCCTCAACAGGGCTATTTAGGGATCTGGGGCAAAATAATCTGTCAGGGACAGTACTTGGTCCTGCTGGGAAGGCAAGGGACTGGACTCAATGACCTTTCAAGGTCCCTTCTAGTTCTATGAACCTGTGTCTGCCACACCCCAGCAGAGTGCTATAACCACTGGGCTAAACGCTATAAGGTGGGCCCCTCTAGTAGTGGCCAAATTTTGAATGGGTCCTGATCCTACCAGCTTGGGTCCTGCACGTGACAAAGGGGCCAAATGCTTGTCATCCCAGGCTGTGTGAATCACTCTGGGGCTTAGGCAAGAGATAGGCATCTGGATACCTAGAGGGAGGCACTAGGATGTCCACAGTCAGAAATGTAGGTGCCTAGGGACCTTTTACCCTGATAATTTAGTCACTAAGTGAATTTAGGCACCTACAGGATTTGGTAGGAGTTTTGTGGGATGACAATGGAGTCTAAAACTGGGACTTAGGCACCTAAACCCCAGATTTCAACACCTAAATACCATTGTGGATCAGGGTCAAAGTGCCATCAGTGCTATGTTGCTTCTCATCCTCGCTCTTTCCCTCCATCAGTTTTCCATTGCATTTGGAGACACTGGTGGAAGCCCTGTAGGCTGTGCTAACACGAATCGTCTAAAGGAGAAGAGGAGAGAGCGAGCCAAAGAAGGTTGGGAACCTCAGAAATGTCCACACGTCCACCTCTTAGAAATCAATGACAAACAGCCTTTCAATTTGTTATGTAAAGGGCTTGTCTAGGCAGTTTTAAAGTTCACAGTTCAGCACCTTCAACAAATAGTAAAGGTTAGAAAAATAATAAAGCCACAAATAGAGCTATCAAAACCCAGGACCAGTCCTGGCATCTTACACCCAAATATGGGAAGAGAGAAATATTTTTGACTTTCAAACTGCAATATATTTATGAAGTATGATTTCTTTATACTAGTATAGCATGTGTGCCTACATATGTATGTATATATAGAGAGAGGCGGTGAATCTACTGAGAGAAGCTTATTATCCTGTAGATTTTCATTTCTCTATCTCCTATGCTCACACTATTTTCTTTTGGCATCTCCCATGGCAATTTTTTAAACTTTGCACTCCAAGCAGACAGATGCTTGAAGCCATAAAGTTCAGAACTTTCCCAGAGCTTGGAGTTGTTTGCATCTGGGGGTTTCATTTTTTCCATGTCCAGTTCCAAGGCTCCTTTTTAAAAGACCTAAATTAATTTCCCTGATCATAAATCTGGGCCCCAAGACTTGTCACTTGCATACAGTCAGTGCTCAAGTAAGTTAGCCTTCAAAACATGGACAGTATTTGTGGGTGCGGGTGTGCCAATATCAAGGGAGCAAGCCCTTAGCGTAGAAAGTCAGACTGTATACAGTGGGGTCACTTATACTGAAGCTGCTTTATAGGGCCTGAGCTTGAGCCATGGTGAGGGTTCTCAGGATCTTGCCCATAATTAAGTTCTAGACTGTTTCAGTGCTCTTGGTAGACTTTCACTCCTCTTGCAGTAAATGGACTTAACTCTATTTTTAGTGAAGTTTTACATCACCATGCTGTGACCGATACGGCATTTTCCTGTAATATCTTTGCAACGACTCTATTAAGTAGTTATGTATCATTGTGGCCCAGGAATTGTATGTAATGCCATGGGGGAGGGTGACCACAGCTCCTTCAGGAACTAAGAACAGTGAAGGGCAATTAAGCAAATTCACTTAAGCTGTAACATCTCCAGAGAAATACTGCCACCTGGAGAGGCTCACGTTTACTGGTTCAGATTGGGGTCTCCAGAGAGGAACAGACAGAGAAAGGACTTTTGGATAAATAACTTGAGTTTAGGCTGACTGAGGGCCTGCTTTCTGATCTAGGAAACAGACAGGACCTTCTGTCCAAGGAGGGCCTCAATTCTTCCTGGGAAGGATTGGAAGGACGGTGGCCTACTGAGGCCCCATCAGACTGAGGGGTGACCTCTGGGAAGCTTTTAGCAAGTGTAAAGGAACTTTTCCCCCCTCAGTAATGTTTTCATCTTAACAATAAATGTGCTTGCTTATAAAGAGCTGTGTGATGCCAGCAGTCACAGGTTAAGCTGTCCATAGCCTTTGAAGAGAAAGAAAAGTGCAGACTCTGGCCTTTAAGGCAGTCTGGCTTGCTGGGGATAGCACAGCGTAGGCAGGGAACTGTGAAGCCTGGAAAAACCCCAGTCAGGAGGGGGAGAGACCTGGATCTCTGCCCAGGAGAGGTGATGGCTGAGGAGCTAGGAGCCTAAGTGGATGCCCTCAAGGGACCCTGGAGGGGGAGTACAGATGCAGTGTCCTGAACTGTGACACATGCTAATCCCTTTGGCAGTGCAGCAATTGTTGCCCACCAGGCAGGTGTTCAGTTCTGCATTCTAAGGCGGAATGTTGTCTCTTCTCCACTCTGCTGGAGGAAGGGGAGAAGGAAGCAGTCACTGCCCTAGGAAGGGGAAGCACTAGGAGGTAGACAGAATACTGGGGTGGATGGACCTTTGGTCTGACCCAGTATGGCCATTCTTATGTTCTTATGAATTGTTGGTTCCCATTGTTTGCTGCAGCTACTCCCAGTGTGGAAGGAGGAGGAGTTGGCCTTGAGAGGGCTGCTCCCTCTTGAGAGTGAAGACATAGCCTTCCAGAAGCCCCCAGCCAAAGCTACCAGTGCCTCTTGTGACCAGAGGCCCTGCCACCACTCCTGGGGGTGGTGAGGGGATCAGAGATGGGTCTTTTGCCAGCAGGCCATTCTACTGTAGTAAAACTTCCCTTATGATGAGGGAAGGAAATCCCAGTTTGCTATAAAAGGGTTCACTGAATGTATCCCCTGTCTTTGTGCATGTGGAATATATAGTATGTGTATATAGCCTGATAACATAAGGGAGAATCCTGCAAACCATACCATGTAATAGGTTTTTTTCAATCTTTAATGCCTCTGATCCTCACACTGGTCTGGGGAGCAGCTCTGAAAGGAAACGCTAGCAGCTGGAGAAGAAAGCATTCCATTAAAATCAATTGACTTCATTCTCTGAGCAAAGCTATATAGATTTATTTTATAGTCGTGTGAACAGCGGAGAGTTTGGCAGTAGTATGCTCAGAAGTATGCACTGTCTTCCTGTTTGGCCCTCCTGTTATCAATTCTGAAAGACACCCAGCTCATGTTGTTTATAAACAAAGCAGTGACTTGAAATATTTCTCCAATGGGCTTTAGAAGAACATGTTACATCTGAGGCCTTTGCATGACAGTGCAAGGAATAAGTAACCTCAACTAAATGGGTTATCATCAAGCACAGCAGACTTAAAGAACCAATGATACATTTGAGCAAACTTTAAGAAAAACAACTTTATCAAAGCCTCATTAAACTGTCATGGTCCAGGCCTGCCATTATTTTTCCATCATTGCATCTTTAAAACAAATGTTCCTATTGAAATGTAATCCTCTTCCTAGCAAACAAATACCGAGACCAGATTTTCAGCTGATGTCAATCATTATAGCTCCGTTGTAGCCAGGGGAGCAAACAAAGCTACACTGATTGACACCAGCTGAAACTCTGGCTCTGAGTGGAGAGGCCATTAAGCCAAAGCAACAGATATGAGAGCATTTCAGTTATGCAATCCGATGACAAGAATCAGCTAGGGTAACACAGTCCATTGCTAAAATAGATCACATGATCCTTAAAGTGGCTAAATCTGATTTTCTTGGGATTCAATGATCTTTTATACCTCTACAGTTCCCAAAGAGCCCAGCCAATGGCCATATAAACAAACTATATTTTAATGAATGAGTTAGTAAATAATCAGCACTTTCTCTCCAAAATAAAGCTTCCCGGTGGGATTTTTCAGAAGCACCTGGATTAACCACTCCCATTGAAATCAATTTACTTTAGGCCAACTCTGAGTTCTTCTGAAAATCCCACCCTTCTCCTTTATAGATTAGTCTATTTCTTTCTAATTCGCACGAGGATGTCCTATTATCAGAGGGCTCAACCCTGCCAATGTCACAGTAGTACTTTACTCTGCAAGTAGACTCAATTTTAAAAGTCAAAGTCAGGCAAAAAGAACTGGTCCTACTGTTTGGAACAACATATTCATCAGCATGAAACTGATTCTGATCTCGATTACAGTGGATTCTGATTTCACTGAATGAAAGCTCAGTCCGTCTCTCCTGACTCCAAACTCCCAGAGTAAGGGGTGCAGGATTGGGCCATGAATCGGCAGGAGGAAAAGATTTGATTAGTTCATGGATAGCTTGATAGAATCAGCAATAATGGAAAGGGAATTGCAGGAAAAGTATCTACAGCAACAATTTAATGAGGCTTATGTAACCTACTCTATGGTTTGCAAAGTTGGAGTGTTGCACTGGTTCTTTATTAAATCACATAAGCCATCCTAATACATTTCTGATGTAAAAAAATATATCTATAAATCATGCCTTAGTAAGAACAATGCAGCTGCTATGGAGTTGGAAGTAGCTTTTAGCCAATTAAAATGCAGCATAGATCTAACGTGCTCTAATGCATTACCAGGCCACGATGACTTTATTTGCAAATAGTTTATCTATTTGTGTATATATATAATGTATATATGTTCAAATAGATAAACTATTTATATATATTCCTGATGCGAAACAGAATAACCTGGCCTACACGTCAGCAGTAGGAGCCCTGCTGTTACACAATCATGAACTGACACACGTACGGCAATTTATCCTTGCATCTCTTGTCAAACCACTTGCCAATGGCAACCCCTGACAAGGCTGCACAGTTCTCCAGTTTGCCGCCATCTGGCTGGGTGGTGATCTCAGTCTCCCAGTTCCGGTAGCGGATGCTGCTGCCTGTCATGTCCACCCATTTGCCCTCAGCCGCCAGGTCATTGATGCCGAGCCAGACATCTGCTTCTGACCCAATGCTCTTCCTCATGTACTCGTAGAGCGCGTCATTTTCATCCCCGTTCTGGGGGGTGCTGAGGGTGCCGCCTTGGGAGATGCAGTCTTCACTGGCCTCGTGATATGTCTTGGTGTCGGAAAACGCAAGGAAGCACTTGAGGTGAATTTTAGTGCCCTTCAAACACACTAAGAAATGACAAAAAGACAAAGTACAAACAGAAAAAGAACATGTTGTAAAGACAGTGCCTGAGAGGGGTTGTCAATAGCAAATGTTACAGTCGAATTCAAAATTTCATTCTGACACCCTGTATAGGAATTGGGTAGTAGTGTATCACTGACAGCCCCCGGTGGTCGGCGGGTGGGGTCGAACCTGGGACCTCTGGAGCTAAATGCATGATTCTCTACTGCATGAGCTAAAAACCACATGGCTCTTAGCTAAGGCTGTAGCAGACTCAATAATCTCTAGATCAGGAGTTCTCAAACTGGGGGTCAGGATCCCTCAGTTGGTCGTGAGGTTATTACATGGGGGGTCACGAGCTGCCAACCTCTACCCCAAACTCCACTTCACCTCCAGCATTTATAATGGTGTTAAATATATAAAAAAGTGTTCTTAATTTATAAGGGGGGGGGTCACACTCAGAGGTTTGCTATGTGAAAGGGGTCACCAGTACAAAAGTTTGAGAACCACTGCTCTAGATGGCCTAGGTACCACTAGAGAGTGCTACACCAAGTAGGCGTGGGTTACAGTAGCTCTTTAAATAATTTGGAAGCCCTATAATGGGCCACTCTGTCTTACACACACTGCTGCTCTGACAGGGTATAGATGTCGTGAGTCCTTGTATGGTTGTATATAATTAGTAAACATGGTTATGTGGAACCCGCTGTGTCCATGTGCCTTCCAAATTCGCATAGAAAGCAAGAACTCAAATCCCCATTTCCCTTTGTTTTAAGTTGCTCCTAAACTTTCCCAAACAAATTCCTCATGGGCTGAACTTTTTCATGCTTGCTCTCGACCCAACATTGCAGAGTTCTGGAAAACTTGTGCATATTTGATACAGCTGTTTGAGTTATGCAAGCATGAAAGAGACTCCCTTTTTCACGGGTTTTGATCAGAAATGTTGCACTTGCATAACTTAAGCTCTTCAGAAAAATGTCCTCCTTGCCCCATTGCTAAAAACTTTTAAGCTTTCTACTCTCTCACAATGATATAGTTGTTAGTAGAAATTACACATTTTTAAAGTTTTAAGCACTGAAAGCCTCTGGGCACCTTATAAAAAAAAAACCCTAATAGGAGCCATATATGAATATTCAAACTGTTTTTTAAAGTCCCATTGAACCTGGACTTGTGTCTGAAACCTAAATCTAACCCATATTCTTTTTCAAAGAAGATAATTAGATATGGGACAAAATTATCCTCTTTAAGCCACACTGTGGGTCTCAAGTCTATTGCATGTTCTGCCAACGCACCTTCCACTGATGTCGGTGGCAGTTCTTCACATGCTATTAGTGTGGAATACTTAGATTGTAAACGCTTTGGAACAGGGACCATCTTTTGCTATGTGTCTGTACACGGCCTAGCACACCAGGACTCTGATCCCTGATTTGGGTCCCTAGGCAATAATGTATTACAAACAATAATAATAGAACATGCTATAGTGACCTGATTGCAATGTGGGTCAGACAAAAGGGTGATGGCTGGCTGCACAGCAAAGAGAAAACTGTGGGAAATATTAAAGTACAGGTGTGACGGGTTCAGTCACAGAGACCCCCTTGGAACTGTCACCTGATGTGATGAAACTACCTGTGAGCCTGTTTTCTTTGCCAGCTTGAGACTCCAGAGCCCTGTCTTGTTGAGCCAGACACGTTAGCCTGCTGCAACACAGACCCAGGGTCTGAAACACACACCCAAAGCTGCAAACTTAACTGAAAACAACTCAGCAAGTACTCCTGTCTCCAGCATCCAGACACCCAGCTCCCAATGGGATCCAAACCCCAAATAAATCTGTTTTACTCTGTATAAAGCTTATACAGGGTAAACTCATAAATTGTCCGCCCTCTATAACACTGATAGATATGCACAGCTGTTTGCTCCCCCAGGTATTAATCACTTACTCTGGGTTAATTAATAAACAAAAGTGATTTTAATAAGTATAAAAAGTAGGATTTAAGTGGTTTTAAGTAATAACAGACAGAACAAAGTAAGTTACCAAGCAAAATAAAACAAAACACGCAAGTTTAAGCCTAATACATTAAGACATTGAATACAGGTAAATCTCAGCCTCAGAGATGTTCTAATAAGCTTCTTTCACAGACTAGACTTCTTCCTAGTCTGGGCCCAATCCTTTCCCCTGGTACAGTACTTGTTAGTTTCAACTCAGGTGGTAACTAGGGGATTTCTCATGACTGACAGCCCCCTTTGTTTTGTTTCACCCCCTTTTATAGCTTTGGCACAAGGCAGGAATCTTTTGTCTCTCTGGATTCCCCACCCCTCCTTCTAAATGGAAAAGCACGAGGTTTAAGATGGATTCCAGTTCAGGTGACATGATTACATGTCACAGTAAGACCTCCTTCTTCATTACCTAGTAGCTGGAAGACACATACATAGGAAGGCTTGTAGGTAAACAAATCCATTCACAGTTCACTGATTCTTAATGGCTTCCACTTAACATGTTTACATCAGTCATACAAGTTTATATCTTATTCTCCTAACTCCAGACATAGAAATAATACATGCAGACAAATAGGATGTACACACTCAGTAGCTCATAAGCTTTATAATGATACCTTAGAAAAGATCTTTTGCATGAAGCATATTCTAGTTACATCATATTCATACTTATAAACATATTTCCATAAACATATGGAGTAAAACATCACAACCGGATCCCCTATACTCTATCCCTCTGACTGATGAAGGAAAAATGACCATCTGATTTAGCTTTCTGTGTTGTTGTAGCCGTGTTGGTCCCTGGATATTAGAGAGACAAGGTGGGGGAGGTAATATCTTTTATTGGACCAACTTCTGTTGGTGAGAGAGACAAGCTTTCGAGCTACACAGATCTGAAGAAGAGCTCTGTGAAGTTCAAAAGCTTGTCTCTCTCACCAACAGAAGTTGATCCAATAAACGATATTACCTCACCGATCTTGTCCATCTGATTTAGTGCCACTGTAAAATTCTCAATATTTCTAATGAGAAGTTCCAGCATATAAAGAATTATTGAGCCATATACTGTACAATTAATGCAATTAAAAGTCTGAGCAGCTGCATCTGTCTGGAAATGTTGTGAAAATACCACACATAGCATTAATCTAATTATGAATGCATCATTAATGATGAAATTCTAGCCCAAATACACCAGGACCTCTTTTAACACCCTTGTCAACATGTACAGAGAGATTTTAACCACATTTTAATTAGCACCAATCGCAAAGCAATAACTGTGTATTCATCAATGAGCTCTTTACCTGTCTGAAGTGCTTGCTTTTCTTTCAGTAAAGCCACCTCCTGGGAGATGTTGTCAATCAGAGCCTTAAGATCTTCAATCATTTTGAGGCTCACACCATCTGTGGAACAAATCAAGAGATGAACGCAAACATCTCATGTACATCTAATGAATGCAATTGAGGTTATTAGTGTAACCAGAGCTCCTTCTCTCTCCTCCTTCAAAAGACTCCTTAAAAGACACTGGTTCTGCAACGCATTCTGTTGCAGGATGACCACCTGCCACTGCATTTGTATTATAGTGGCCTATACACTACCACCTTGTGCCTGTACAGCATTTGCCCACTGGGGCATGGAATGTATTACTACTCTGGGACAGTAAAGGGGCAGTGTGTGGAACTATGGACCCGATCCAAAGCCCACTGAAGTCAATAAGAGTCCTTCCATTGATTTCAATGAGCTTTGGATGAATTTCCTGGATCAATAATACAAACAGAAGGGAATTGTCCTTAACAGAGTTCTTCTGGCTCTGTCCATACGCTTTAAAGAATTTAAAGGATTAATATGTTCTCAGAAGCTTCTGAGCAAGTGTTCTCTGCCTGCTGACAGCATGTTCTAATGGTGTAATGCTTCTCAAGTATCTCTGTTAGCAGAGCATATCAAGCTTCGATATCCTTGGTGGAGTTGCTTAGAACTGCCTGGAATGGGTTCCTTCTGCTTAGAAAACACTGGTTCCTGTGTGTGTGGTTGAGTTGAATCTATCACTAAAACTCATGTATTCTGTTATGTGTTTCACTCTTCTGACTCTTAAAGACTGTTTACTCCATACACTACAATTCTAATAGGGGAATAGTAAGGTCATACCGAAGTTTGAGTGAGAAACCATGGTTACACATGTAGTTAAAGAAACTGTAGACTCCACAGAGTTAGCCGATGAGTGAGAATGAACAAAACTTTCAGGTAGTGAATTCCACACAGCAAAGATTCTTAGGGGAAGAATGGATTTTGGAAACAGTCATTGTGTTCAGTGGGGTCCCTGAAATAGTCTTATCTATGCTCAAGGATCCATTTTTCTCCCATTATTGATGGAGTACTGGACGCTCACCAGAGGCCATCAGCACTGTTCTCTTGGCTTCCATTCTAGGTGGACAGTACAGAAGAATATGAAGCACTAAGTCCCACTGCACCCCGCTTCTGGAGTCGAGTGCAATTTCCCTGCAGCACTCCTAGCCCCTGCTGGCTTGGAAGCTCAGGACACAAACATGGGAGATTTGGCATGCTCACAGGGCTGGCCCAGTTTATTCTCTTTATTATTGCCTGATGTTTTCCATTTAAAATTTGCACGGTCAGCACAAGACCAAACAACATCGCATTGCAACTAATGGCAACTCAAGCAAAACATATTCAGATGGCGTAAATCAACATAGTTGTATTGAAATTAGCGGCGCCATGGTGATTGACACCAGCTGAGGCTCTAGCCCAGAATTTCTATTTTGGAGAACATATCTCTTACAATCTTTACAGACAGACTAGTCTGAGGGTTTTTAAACTTGTTTCTCCAGTTACTCCATATTCAACCACTTTTCTATGGAAAGTCACCTCAGAGAAAACTTTGAACTGGTTCCCAAAGTTTTCCTAGGAGCCCTGGGCAAGGTTAGATCCTCTCTCTCTCTTTCTCCTTCCCCACCACCACCCCTCGGCCAATTAGTTTAGTTTATCTAATGATCCCTATCTACATACTTCCTGAGCCCCTCCAAACTACTGAACCCTCCCTCTCCCTCCAAATCTTGTGCTCTTGCTTTTTTCCCATAGGGACAATGGCTTAGTTAATTTTCTTGAAGTGGGGTGTGAAGAACTTTTTGAGAGAGAGAGGCAAGTCAGAGAGATGAGTTTTGCATTTAGTCCTGAAGAGACTGAGGCCTGTAATGGCTGTTGTCTCTTGCGAGCCTGGTCTGTAGCTTTGGTCCAGCTCCTGGGAGAGTCTCCCTTGTCTCCCATGATCATGCGCCGCCCCACACCCCGTTGGATGACACTTCCGTTGCTCCAGTGGAGTGCAGTTCTCATGATAGGCCAGCGTCATGCTGGGAGAGAGGTCTCACTGGTAGCTAGGGCTAGTCCCATAGAGAGCTTTGAATGTCATGACAGAGACCATGAACTGGACTCCGTATTCAGTAGGAAGCCTGGGTCATTGTGTCTTCACTGCTGTTTTTAGAATGTGAGCTAGATTAAAGCTAGCTGGAGTATGCCGCCCCAAGCTGCAAATCTCACCTTCAGCTGCCGTGTGGACATACCCAGAGAAGGGGAATTTTCTAGTAGTGTTGGCTCTGCAGGAGGTGGCCTGCCAGAGAGGTTGGAGGGAGCAAGAAGCTATGGGGTCTCCACAGGGATGGCCCCTGTCTTCAGTGGCCCCCTAGCGATCCATGAGTTTCATGGATTTTAAGACCAGAAGGGACTGTGATGAACAGCTGGTCTGATCTCTGTTTCAGATGGGTACTGACCCTCACTGTTAAAAATGGGAAGTCTGTTTTTGGGGACCAGATCATTTGGTCCATCTATGGGGATTACATACCTCACTCTCACCAAAGAAGTGATCCAGTGGAGACTCCATGAGGTTTCCCTCCTGATTTTCTGTACCCTATGTGGGGTTTTCTGGGAGTGGGGGTGATCTAGCCTTTAGGAGTGATAAGATTATAAAACAATATTTAGTTCTTCTTTGGTACTCTCCTACCACTCTATTGAAGCCATTTCCCATGTAATTAAATGTGCCATTATCACTAATGTCACCAATCTATGGCTTAGTTAGAGTAATTGCAACTGCTGTAACCAGCTACTAATTGGTACTCTGGTTACTCTCATTAAGAAATAATTGAGCTTTTATCCCTTTGATGTTGCAGCAAACAGGACAATAAGGGGGTAGTATTCACTGTATCTACACAGCTGCTCCCAAGAAACTATTTCTATACCTATCCTGCCATAAATGTGGTGGTGTTTTTATGGGGGAACCTGATGTGGTAAAAGCAAATGTGACAATCTACGCATGCAGACTATAGGCCAGGTCTATCCCGGAAATGCCAGCTATGGTGAATTGATTAAGTAAGCAGAGTTACTACCTGAGATCAGTTCGAAAGCAACATTGAAAGCCCTATAAAAGACGAGCAGTGAAGATTATCCTGTGTCATGAATAGGAAACAAAAGCATCAAGAGGAATGTATTGAGCTGCTTTAATCATTGCTCAATTAACTTTAATGGGTTTCATTAACACTGAAGCATTAGTTATTATTTTGGTACCTTTTAGGAAAACACATCGTGGGAAACTTCCCATTAATACAGCTGCTTTTGTAAGGGAGCCTCTCTAGCAATGTAATGGCTAGTAGCCTTAACCCAACATACAACCACGAAAAGAGGAAGGATGGTTTTATGGCTAAAGCACAGGAGTTCTGGCGTCTAATCCTGGCTCTGCCACAAACACTGTGTGTGGTTCTTGGGGAAGTTACTTGTCTTAACCCCTCTATGCCTCACTTCCTCCATCTGCAAAGGGTGACAGCAATTCTCCCTCAGAGGGTGTTGTGAGGCTTAGGGCTCGACTGCACAGGGCATAATTCCCGAATCAAGCCCTGTGTGGGGACTTAAGCTGAAATAAAAGTGCCTTGTTCTAGATTAGTTTAAGATTGTGTAGTTAAGGTACTGCAAAGGGATTTAGGACGCTTGAAAGTAGATTAAGCTAAACAGCAGCACGGCACTCTTATTGTGGAGTTTTTCAGGAACAGCTGGTGGACTTTAAATTCACACCCTACCTTAATCCAAATGAATTTTCAAGTGCAGACACGCCCTAAATTCATGAATGTTTCTAAAGAGTTTTGAGGATCTAGAATGGAAGATGCCATGGAAGTATAATTTTTTTATCACATCAAAAAAAATTGTTAAAGAACATTGAGGTGGCAAAGTCAAGCACTCAAATGTTAGGCAACAACAGAATTAAGGTTCCCTGTGCAAGCTTAACATGGCTCCCTTGTACATATGCATTGTGATACGCTTTTTAATTACACGATCATGTACTGGTTTCCCACAGTGCCCCTGCCTCAATCAGTGAATGGGAAGTTATTCAACATTTCTCCTCCTCATTCAGTGTATGGCCTCAAGACTTAGTTATTTGACACCAGTGAAGCCCTGCTCTGAATACAAGATGATTCTTTTCTTCCTGGGCATTTCTATAGTGCTCTCCCCATAATATCTGAGAACTTCATAAACATTAATGAGTTTCTCTCCCCTGTGAGGAGAGGTGGTGTTATTGTCCTCATTTTACAGATGGGGACGAAAGGCACAGAGAGATTAAGGCCAAAATTGTCAAAAGTCTCCATTCATTTTGGGTGCTCCATTTAAGACATCCAAGGTCTGATTGTTTCTCTCTTTTTTTTTTGAGAATTTAGCAATTGTATAGTACTTTATATGTTCAAAGCACAGTTCTCATTGACTTCAGCTGCAGTCATGAGCACCAAGCACCTCTGCAAATCTGGCACCAAGAAAACGAGGAACACAAAATTGGCAGCCAACTGTGAAAAGTTTGGTTTAAGTGACTTGCCCAGCATCACACAGGAACTCTGTGGCAGAGGCAGGGTTAGAATCCAATTCTCCAAGGCGCCATTCAACTTCTTTAACTACGGGGCCTTCCCTTCTCTCCCTGCAATCTTCTGCCTCGTTCACTACACACCTTCCGACTTCTGTAACAAATAAGGCCCAGACCACAGCCACATTCATTACACAACCCTGATTTATCCACAGAGCACCATTATCCTTTGCGCTGAATGAGGTAGGGGTCAATAATGTCATTCATAAATGGAAGGGGAAAACTCCATCAAGGAGGAAAGACTGTGTAGCTAAGGTATTGCAGTGGGATGCAGGAGGTATGGGTTAAATTCCCGGTTCTGGTACTGATCTCCTGTATGAACCTGAGAGAGCTTACGCTCTCTGTGCCTCAATTCCCCATTTGAAAATAGGGATAATAACTCTTCTCTATCTCCCAGTGATATTGCGAGGATTAATTCCTGTCTCAAGGATGGACAGAGCCTATGGACATCATAATAAAGCCTATACATTTTTTAAAAAGCGATCATAGTAAATCCAAATATCTGTGATAAGCCATTTCTGTGGAACCTGTGTATAATTGAGCAGTAAAGACAGCCTGTAATACACTCATCTGATCTGAACCCCATGAAGAAATCCATTAAGATTCAGATGGAGACTACTCCTGTTCAGTTGTTTGTCTTTAAATAATCTATCCTGATTTAGAGCATGGAAACATTCAGCTGAGACTGGTTAAATGGTCGAAAGAAAATCTTTCCTAAAGCCATTTTCTGCTATAATTCGTGTAGTGTGTATCTTGTGCATACATAGACTGTCAATGAGAAATACATGCTGTGGTGTTGTCTCAGTGAGTTATACACAGCTGATATTCTACCGTCCATGAATTTTTGTGACCCTTGATGGCACTACTTGCAGAGAGAGCAGAAAAGGCAGTGGAACTCTTTCCAGTGGGATGTGTTCACATTATAGTTGAAAGATGCTTATCATAAACACCCAGCTGTTGTAGCAAGGTACTACATGACTTCCCTGACCACTGTGGATAGCAATATTTTCTGAGAACTTTTCTAGCCAGACTGGTCTATAACCCACTCCTCATTAAGCCACAGCACGGTCGTATAATGTGGTTTGAACAGTTCTCACAGAAAATAATCTCCACACTGATCAGGGAAGCCATGCTAAAACCCTTAAGCTCAGTTTTCGCCATTGAAATACAGCCGATGAAAAGTATCTTCTAAAGCTAGCAAATGTAAATTCTGGTGGCTAGCATTCTCCTGGTGGGAACTGCTTACAGCTCAATTTGTGACTGACATGCCTCAACATGTTTGAAGATCTGCTTCACAGAAGTGCTTGCTAGCCACATCTCTTGAGCTGTGATTTTTTCAAAGCTGCCTAGAGGATCTGGACACCCAATTCCCATTAATTTTATTGGGAATTAGGCATCCAAACCCCTAGAATCTATTTTAGTAGGTGCTTCTATTACCCCATCACTGTAGTGTCTGAGTGCCTCACGAACTTTAATGCATTTATCCTCACAACACCCTAGTGAGGGAGGGAAATACCATTATCTCCATTTGATAGATGGTGAATTCAGGCCCAGGGAAAGTAAGGCTTTGTCTGCACCAGGGGTGGGCAAACTATGTGTAAGCGGGGGAATGGTCCCGCTATTGTGGGGAACTTTCCTGGCTT